TTTTCGGTAAAACTAATGAAAAATATAACAAAAATAATATTAAAAAAATATATATTTAAAAAAAATATATTTTTTTTTAATGTTTTTAAATATTATTTTTTTGAATATCTTAGGCCCTCACAGAGGGCCTAGAGGGCCCTGACGGCTCGCCACTGCATTTGACAACTTTCCGTACATTAAAGTGACATTGATGTAATGAAAACCCGCCTGTTAAGTACTTAAAACAAGCCTAAAAAGCGTCATACCACCCGAGCAATGTCTGGTTTAGGTCGTGGCCAGCTAACCCACACTTTCCATCTCCATCTCATGTTGTTTGGATGTCCTCGTCCACCTGAGTCCCTCCCTCTCACCGCAGGCTTTTGTCTCAGTCTGCTTCACCCAGCCTGCCTCCGTCTGTCCACATGTCTCCACGGCCTGATCCGCCTCGCTGCCCACAATGTTTAGACAAAGTGAGAGACACAGAGACACAGTGGCGGTGGAGGAGAGTGATGCTAAAGTTTCCGCCTTCTCTTTCGGTGTGACCGCCCCTGATGTTTGTCTCAGAGGGTTTAAAGGCTGGATACGTAAATCTCTGGGGGAGTAAACAGATGATGGACTCAGCAAGGAAATAAGAGAAGTCTTCACTTTTACATTTCTTGAAAAGGGTCTCTACATTAATGCAACTGTAAATGCTCGCAATTCAATGTGCTTTGCGTGTCTTATATATGCAATGTAAGGTTGCTTTGTCTGCTGTATTAAGTAGTTACTCATAATATGGAGCTGAGTATACAGTAATCTAACAAGTTGTGTGGCTAATTGCTTTTGCTGGAGTAGTAAAAAACAATTTAAAGTACATTTTTCATGTGCTCAACACAGGTCTTGACAAATGGGAAAAAACGTTGCAGAAAATGTTCATATTGCTCATTTGGAAAGCACAGAAGAATAATTTAAACTGTCTTTAAGTTGGAGGGAATGTTCGGATACTCACTGCTATATTATTCAGGTCTTATTTCTGAAGAGATGTTCTATTTTTTGGGAAATACAAGGGAGGAGAGACACCAGACATATCAGATTTAAGACAGTTAAAAGTGATTCGCACCAGTAGAGTTCTTCGGTGTTCTGGAGCTGTGTATTTCTCTATAAAATGACTGTAAGTGACACTACAGTCTTAGAAGGCAACGGAAAAATGCAAACCAAGTAATTTTCCCCAGATTTTTAAGGCTCGGACCTCAAACATTTGTCGCCCAGAAACCTCTGGATTCTGCTGTTCAGGGAAAAAAGGGAAGCAGTGGGTCATTATTTTTGGCAGGCAACGTGGAAGTCTGGCTTCTCAAAGTAGAAGCGGTGGTTGTGGATTCTGTTTTGGGTCACAGCAACTCCCCGTCTGCCTGAAGAATCTCTGTCATCCGTCACACATCCATCCTCTGTGCAAAAAGGCTTCTAAAACCACTCATCATGTCCTCATGCCCTCACCGTAAACTCCCTGTACATGTGTGTTTGTTTTCAAAAGAGAGGGAAGGGTAGAGTGCTCTTTAAATAGATATTCAGCTATGAATAGTGCAAGCGTGTAAAGGTGTATTTGTGCTTGTGTTTACAGTGCAAAGTGCAACCCTAACCCGACGCAGAAAAGAAACATGTATTTTAATCTTGTGTAAATGGTGTGGGCATAGAAAGAGTGTCTGAATTTAGATTGCTGTTATAATGGATGATAAATTAACATTGAAATCTCATTATGCACATCTAAAGAGCAAGCAAATACACTCTATTGATTTAGGGCTTAAAAACGTAAAGATTCTTTGAAAAATTACTTTTTTAAGTTGTGTACAGAGGAAAGAAAACAGTATTACCAGAAAATATACAACAATTGTTCGTCTTAAATTCCGATGATGTGCTTAAGGCATCAGTTTGCATAACTTGCTTTACAGTTTTGCTGACTGACTTGACTTTTTGTTATGTTACTGTTAAATGTTATGTTAAGTATTGCCAAGTGTGATTGAGTAACCGTCTAATTTTGAGTAAGGAGTAGGTCAAAGCTTATTTTCCCTGCTCCACTCCATCATGGGTTGTAAACTGCTCAAAGTGCACATCTTAAGACACAGAGGCATTTAAAAGTGCTTCACATAGGCATTTAACACATAATAATTAAAAACCAAACTAACAACAACAGATCTGGACTCAGGTCATTTTCTCTCTGCATACTCTCCTTTGCTTCACGTTTTCAACACCCTGATTCTCCAGGCGTGACATTCCCTTTCAGACACACTTTTAAAGTAAATGTCAGATGACGTTCACAAGGACACATATTGATTCTCTGTCTTTCATCCGAGGGGAGAATCCCATTCCTCCCTGACCTGAAGTCACTCTGCCAAGCTGAGTCAGACATGAGGGAAATCTGTGAGTGTTTGGCTGCCGTCTGAAAGCGATGTGTGTGACCCACTTAGGGGTTTTTCGGGCTGAATAAAGTGTGTGTTTTTCAATCATGTGTTGCTTTTTTGCCATGGATACTGAGAGAAAAACACACTCCGAGACACACTTTTTATTGTCGCATCTTCCAGCGTGGAAACAAAGAGGAGGTAGAAACAAAACAGTGCCGAGTCGTGGTCGACCAGCGGCGTTTCCAACCACATTTCTGACACACCCTCAATTTTTTTTTGCTTTGGATCCCTCCAGACGGGCTACTCTTGACAAAAAGTTGGAAACAAAACTAGTCCTTTAACCCCTAAAAGTGCATTTGAAGTTCAAGAACAAATGTGACTTGGCCACACTGGGCCCTTGATGACAGGATGATTTAGTCGCAGAGAGAAAGAATGCAGCTGTCTGTGCATCAACTTTTTGAAACAGACAGAAACAGACAGTGGTCCTCTCGGCTGTTGTTTCATGATCAAAGGGCATAGTCGAGCTTTATCAATGCTCTTATCATCCTATGCATGCCACTTTTCTGGAGATAGATAAGATGGAACAATTGCTGCATACCTTTGTGTTTGTGCACAGGAGATACTGGCCTATACAAAAAAGGCTGCAGTGGGAAATAATCCTGTCAGGTTAATACTTTATTTAAGGATTTAAAACAGATTTTAAAGCAGACAAACAGCCGAAATATGCCTATATATGTCTTCAAACAAGATTTCACTTTTTTGGAAGAACTCAAATGGATTTACAAAGAAACCGTTAATTTGTAATAGTTATTTCACTTCAGGTATCTAGAATATTTGAATTATGTGAAACCAGAAGAAGCAAAGATGTAATCCCAAATGCTATATTCTGTTCTGTCATCTAATATTGGAGCTAAAGAGTTTTTCTTTTGCAATATCTTTTCAACATAACAACAATGCAAGCTGCTCAGTCTGACTTATTATTAACTTAATCGATTACAGCTGTAAAACCTAAATGGATTTACAAAGAAACCCTTCAGGTATCTATATAACATTTGAATTGTGTGAAACCCCAAATGCTAATGTTCTGTTTGCATGGTGAAAAAATCCGTTAAACTTCAGCTTTAATGGAGGTATGTTCACTCCTTGCCTTCAGATTTTTAAAAGTCAACACTCCCCCCCTCTCTGGATGTTTTCCTACAGTAACGTATACTGTAGCTCCAGCTATAAGGAAAATGAGTCATGCGTCATGCCTATGCAGAAAAAAAAATACTGAGTGCATTCCTCCTCATCAGTCATGTTATTCTTGGCTCTGGAAGTGCATTCTCACACCTGGCCGACCCTCTGCAGACCGCAGGAGAACAGACAGCTTCTATAGCACCGACTGCCACACATTGAAAACATGTGATGGCCCCTTCAAATAAAAACTCACACTTGTAAATATATAGAGAAGCTCAGGAGTTAAACCAAAGCATGCTTTCAGATACATGAGCTGTGTCAAGAGTGAGGATCAGGTCAGGAAGTGACCAGAAGTTAGCCATGCCTTCAAAATAAAAGTGACCTGAGTGTACAGATCATGCAAAATCAAATACTCAGGGTCTTAGATAAAACAGAGTGAACCTTAATGAGATTTCATAACATTTATTTACTTCTTTAATTGTATTGATCTTTGGAAAAATAATTGCACATAGTTGTTTTTGTTTTACCTCCAGTTGCCTACTTCCATCAGCCTGAAGTAGAGCTGACCAAATCACATTACACTATAGCACAAATAAACTAAGCCAATACATCTCATAAAACGAGATATTAGTGTTATTGTGGGGGCAATGGATGTGTTTGGGTTGTCACTATGTTACTGTCGTGGGCACGTGAGTGTGATTACGTCACCGTGTAATTAACATCACCTGTGAACCTGCAGATCACTGGTTTTGTTTGTAACGAAGGGGAAGAGTGCTTAATAACAGCTGACCGCGAAGAAACGCGACAGCAGCTGTTTATTAATGGTCAATATTCACTACAAAGGCATCATGTAGCCTACTGCATCTGCTTTTGGACCAGTGCCCCCCTAACACTGACGTTGGACCCCCCTGTGGCCCCCCTGAAAATGAAAAAAAAAAGAAAAAAGTTTGTGATTAAACGATTTCTTGGCTGACGGAATAGGCGGAACTAACGCTATCTGTCATTCTAGTCGGACCCATTAGAGCGTAAAAACTGTAACTAGGCTATAAGTATCTGAAATAAATATGTGTACTGAAACAAATACCATTGCATTGTTTTCTTATGCGCAATTACTTCATACTGTCTTTGTCTTTTTCGTCCTGCATTTATTGTGCCCCCCTCAGAAAATAACTGGCCCCAGCCTGCCCCCCCCTGTCAAATTGGTCTAGAACCGCTTAAGGCCTTTGGGTACACAGGAAGTTACTGGTTTTCCTCCAGCTTTGGGCATTTTCAGTTTAGGGCTTGAATGTAACACTGTAACGTATTTTTTTTAAACATTGTAACGAGCACTAGGCTACTAACATGTGTCAAATCGCTTCTGTCTTGTCCGGTATTTTAATTAAACACAGTTTTACTTTGGAAGCAAAACCGGAAGTCGCTTGTTTTAGTCCACGCTGACTTCACAACATCAGAGTGAGTTGAGGCGGACTGGAGTCTGTGCGCTCAGAGCAAACTGCGCTCAGACAGAAACGCACAGAGAAACACACAGAGGAGCAGAAACAGAAACCATTCACCTCCTCTCCATCATGGATACTCTTTGGTCTCGTACCCTTCTCTTTGCTGGATAAACTTTTGGACCTACACTCGTATCATGGGAATATACTGTCTGCGCGCTCGGTCCCGTGGATGTCTATAGTCTTGATGGAAAGCATGTCCCCGCAGCAGGGGACCATGGGACAGAACAGGTCCGACTCTCTGACGGGAGGGGGCAAGGCTCTTCCCGACAACAAAAAGGTACAAAGAGACGCTCCTCTGCGGGGCTTTAGGAGCGGAAGGTTGGCTGAATGTGGACACGTTTTGCGTGTTTGCGCACTGTGTTGTCCGGTGCGCTCATTGGTGTGTCATTCAATGTTGCGTCTTTTTTCAACATTTCATAGACAGAGAAGATGTGTTTCTCTATAACATCTCAGTTTTCTGCGGCATCGCTTTATATTAATCCTTACAAATTAATACTTTTTCTTGATTTTCTTGCAAATCTGCATTTTTTTGTTGTTGCCTGCTTTGGGACTGTTTACTGATTAAGTTGATAGTGGTGTCGTGTCAATGTGCCATGCTTTTATTTGAAACATGCCTTTCATGTTTGTTTTATCAGACCTTACTCAGTGTGTTTGATTTATCTGATGAATATCGCTATCTGTTTCGTTTCCATATACCACAAACACGCTGGGCACGTGGAAGAGAAGGCTATATTTCCTAAAATATTTCTATCAAAATCTAGACCGCTTTTGATACTTTATTACAATGGAACCAAATCCTGGCTTTTTAAACAACTTTTAACCAAGAAAAACGCCCAAATCCAAATATCAAAATCGGATTTATTTGTCCTCAATTTGTTTTTGTTATCCTCCTGACTAAACCAGACTGAGCAGAGGAGCCGAAACGTGGCTAAATAACAGAGCAGGATAATGTGCTGATAGAGATTATTTGTTAATCAGACAGAGTCTCCGTGCAACTGTGGATCCATCAGACCTGGCTTCTTTTAAGTCACTTTTCATTACTTTGAACAAAAAAACAAACAATGTAATCTTTGTCTTTCCTGTAAACACCGTCCACATTGTTATTTATTGTAGCTTTCTATCCCGAGTTTTGGTCAATGACACTGATAAGCGCTCATAGATAAAGGAGATGATTCTCCAGCAGAAGGGCAGTTAAGTTGTAGTAAACAGCGCCCCCTTCCAATGTGTGTTTAGTAAGTGTAACTGCAGCTTTAAGCAGGCAGGATTTGAGCAGCAAAGGGGAGAATATTTAGCCAAATAGTTGCTAAAATTGTCCATTTGTTGGTCCAATTTCGAAATAACAAGTAAGCTTTGACTTCCATCATAACCAGCACAGACAAAACGAGTGATATCCTCACATTTCTAGAGTTTGCCTTGCCTAAAATACCTTTTACTAGCCTTAAACTGTATACAAAAAAGAGGGCTGTGCAGAGTAATGCAGTTTTAATGACAACCTTACCAACCCAAATGTATTCCATGTATAAACTCACACTACCATCAAAATCAATGCATGATTGTTAGCAGTCAATGTGCAAGTGATTCCAAGCAGTGTTATGGTGTTACCCTCCAAATGAATCAACACACTACATCACTTTTTGGCAACAGACCAGTGTTTTCGTAATGTTTCTGTGAGCGTTTCACCACATCCCAGCCAGCTATTGCAGTTAGTAAAAAGTAGTCTCGGGAATCCAAAACAAATGTTACTATAGTTCATTTTTAAGAGCAGTTTTTGCACCTTGGCCTTGTTTGGAAAGTTGTGAGAAATGAGCTGTCAGGCTGAGCAGAAAAAACACAAGCTTTGTTTTTTCATCACTGGCTGAAAAACACTGCATAAATGTAGAATTTCCACATGCCTCATCACTCAGGAGCTGTTTGTTTTGAGATGTTTGTGCCAGAAGTTGAACATTAAGTTAACATGCATGACAGGAACATGCATGTTAATCAGTGTTTATCCTGCAGAGTAGGCTAACATGATAACATTGTTACTGCCTACAGTGCATGCTTCCTATTTGGTTTTCTGCACACGGTCAGCACAATTTAATCCGGAAAGGCTTGTTATTGTATTTTTCACAAGAAAGTGTATTGTTGTTCCATTATGCCAAGTGCAAGTGTTTTCATGTCACTGCTCACATGTCCTGTCAACACCTGAAGGGAAAACAAGCATGTCATCTTATGGGTGTTGTGTTGCTTTTAAGTCCATTATTTTGGGAATGTGCTGAGTTTGCACTGTTCTTGATACATTTCCTGCAAGAAAATAATGAAAATCTCACTTTAATTGCAACAAGAATATTTTCCACAAGCCAAAAACCCATTAAACTGACCGAAAATGTAATTAAATAGCTTTCAGCAGCTCATTAAAGGACACTTTGCATTACATATTTTAAAACCAGTATGTTTGGTGTGAAGTAAAAGCATTTGTATTCACTCCAAGCACT